TTATGCTGTTAACCATTATGTAATATTGCATCAGAATAGAAGAAAACACAATTTTGGGTGCTGCTGCCATGATGACCATTATGGGAAAACCATGTTATTTATGATTGCCAAACTTTCAAAAAAGAAATACAGGGCTAAAATGCAGCCTGAGTTGGAAATGTAGTCTAATTGGCTTCTTTTTCTGGAAGTTATACATTTTCAAAGTGTGAACTTGAACTCCCATGGGCCTGAAGCCTTATGCTTGTTACACATTTTACTTACATTGGTATTACCTGTTGAGCATAATTAAAATTTAATGTTGAATTTGCAGTTCAACATAATGTACTTTTGCATCAGAATTGACAGTAGCCTATTTTGTGCATAGTTATTTCCTGTTTTTTGTCTGTACATTTGACAGCTTTGCTGCCTTGTTTTATATAAACAAATTGCCTCCTTGCCCTCTAGTCATGCAAGTTACTTTGCCACCCCTAATTGCTTGCCTAGCCAACACAAAGTAAACCATTTACAGATACCTGGTATGTGGAACAGACTGGTTATTTTTTGTAAAAAGTAAAATCTAAAATATTGGTATGTGGGCTTTTAGTTTGGAGATCTAATATACTAGTATTAAAAGTGTTGACTAATTTTCAAACATTGTAAATCAGTTAATATGTGAAAACACTACTAGTAGCTACACCAGCACCATTATTCTGATAGATACATATAGAAGTACATAAATATCATTAGGTTTATGTACAAGTTATTGTACATCTAAGTGAGATATTTTAAAAACTGTTGTTATGATTTCAGATTTAGCTGGTCAGTTGCCAATAACATTCCATAGAGGTAGGTTTGAAATAAGTCAGACATAGCAGTAACACAGAAGTATAAAAACTGTAAATGTGTTAGGTGTACTTAGGTAACTGCCTTGGTGTCAGCAAGTTTTGGATGAAAAGTGTCAAATCAGATGTATTATATTAGGTGTGCCAGTGGCATGTGAGATAATGTGAACATTGTCAGCAGTAGAGCTGTTGGACTGTAAAGGATAAAGGTTTGTATAAAAAAAACCCTTAGTTTAAATGAAAAAGATGAACACAATTAATTTAAGAGGTCAGTTATGGATAATTTATAAAATTATAAAGGAAACCGAATCTAGCCTTCACAGAAGCAGTCTGTATCATAACAGACAGAATAGTATATACTAAGCATATTTCTATTTCAGCCATTGACATGTGTTGTGACTGGCGCCAGGCTCTGGAAGACATCATCAGTCTGGGCTGTCACAGGGTACTGACCAGTGGTCAAGATTCCTCAGCACTGGAAGGACTGCCCACTATCAAACAGATGATTCAACAGGTATTTGTTGAATATTTGTAGTAGTTGTTGTAAAAAGGTAATATAATACATAAGTCAAAATATTTCTGTCGTGTGATGTTATAAAAAGTTTTGACAGTGACTTAGTAATTTTATATATTTTCAGTGAGAGAGAACTGAGTAAAGTAGTTACAATCAACTCGGTAGGGCTCTCTACTTCTAACAGAAAAACCCCTAATTTCTGCTCAACAAATCATGGGGCATATTTGAACAGATTCAGCAAATTTTTGCTTGCTCTCAGAATGTGCTAAATGGTTTGAATTTAGTGATTTTTAATTTCATTTTTTATTTTTATATGTATATTTATTTATGATTTGCTATCCGGATATGAAAAGTGTTTAATTCAAAATTAACTTGCAGTAGTGTTATCTCTGAAGGACCAATATAAATGGACATTGTCTTGTCTGTTTGAAAGTCGTTGGTTTTTATTTTTTTGTTTTTCAAATTTTAAAGAGCAGAGGTAGAATAACAGTCATGCCAGCTGGTGGAATAAATGAGAGAAATGTGAAGAGGATTTTAGAAGGATGTGGTGCTAAAGAGTTCCATGCTTCTGCCAGAAGCTTGTGTCAGTCAGCCATGTTGTATAAAAACTCTTCTGTTGCTATGGGAGCAAGCTTATCACCCGATGAATTCAGTCACAAAGTTACAGATGATAAAAAAGTAATGAATTTGGTTACCATAGCAACGCAGGTTTCTAGTAGTTGATGTACTGTATGCTGGTAAATATTGTGCATAATAGGATGGATTTAATGAATGCAGGACATTGTGACACCATCAATCAATTTTTTTCATGTAAAAGTGCAACTAACACAATGGATAATTCCCAAAGAAAACCGTTCTATTGGATGTTATCTTCCGATAAAGTGAATTCTAACACACTGTCAAGTATTTTACTGGAATGCCAACTGCTCTGCTCTTTACTTAAACTTACCATTTTATCTGTTTCCAAGTCACCTTACAGAAAAAATAGCAAATCCAAAAGGCCTATACTTTTAAACATTTTATTGCCCTGCATTTTGTAAATACAATATGTTTCGCATAACTCCAATATGAAGGGACTGGAAAATACAGTTGTGTAAAGATTCGAGGCAGACAATTTCATCTATTACCAAAGAAAAAATTTTCCCTCAAGATTTCTTTGGGGTCAACCATATACTTATATAAATACATGTAGTTACGTGGTATTGATTGTATTTACACCAAGGAGGAATAAAGACCTCTGTAACATTGTTCTATTTATGACTATCAGCAATTCTCTGTTTTCTGTTGTTATTGAGGGTGAGTCTGATGCTAACAAATGACAACGCAAACAACTTTGACGGTTGGGTACGTGTTGATTAAACAGGTTTAGATGTGTGGAAATAGAAGCAATCACCAGTATTAATAATCGGGTTAACATCTCAAGGAATCCAATGTGATGTACATTTATAAGGCGACTGAAGTATTCTATGAAATATTTGATTTGAGAATTATGATCCCTATTAACTTTGGTACCCAATACTTGACCATTTTGTCTGTTTTGCAACCTGCAGTAATTGAAAAAAAAAATATCGTTAGTGATTCTCTTTTCTTTTAAGCCACATTGCCACATTGACGAAAAAATGTACACATGCAATACCGTGCGATACATGTACCACATATAATACACAGAAAAAAAAGGCTGACAACTAGTCATTTTGGTGGGAAAAGTGCCGAAAAGCGGATTAATAAACGGTAATGTTCCAATACGTAACAAAGGTACCGACATTCAAAGTTAGTCGATTTTTTAGTGTGGTTTTTGTAATAATCTCTTAAAAGATTATTGCTGAGGGTAGCTATCTTTCAGATTTATTGCGACAACTGCCGTTTTGGTGGTGAAATGGAATTTATTATATTTCGGTGTGATGTTTACAATGTATATATTGTAGAATTTTGAATTTCATATGAAGAGTTTAATGTTTTAGATGTTTTTAATGATTAAGAATTAAAAA